TTTTTATCTAGAGTACATAAAGAAATCTGACAACTCAATAGCAAAATGAGGAAAGGCAAGAATACTTTCAAAAAGAGGTTTTCAGTGGCCAGTAAGCATTTCAACGGTGCTGTGCATTACTGAGCTGGCAGGGAAATTAAATTCATAGTGAGGTATCATTGCACCAACTGCAGTGGTCAGTGAGTCAAAGACTGACGGTACCAGAGGCTGAGACTGTGCCCAACTGCAGCCCTTCAAGGTGAGGAGTGCACAAAACACGGTCCTGAGACTTGGCAATTTCACTTCTATGTGTTTGACAGAGAAGTGAGAATAGGTGTGCACAAAATTATGAACTCAAAAATGTTAGAGCAATCTTATTTTTAACAGTCAAAAATTGGAAAAACTGTAATTTACATCTGCAGGAAAATGGGTAAACAAATGGTATATGCACACAAAAGATTGCTGCTAAGCAGTCAGAGGTATTGAGCCACTGATAGACTTAGCAATGTAGATGAGAACTGTGTTAAAACAAATGACATACGTGAGTTTTACTGTATGATTCACATGATGTTCTAAACAAGGGGAAAACTGTTCTCCAGTGATGGAAATCAGAAAACAGCTGTGGGGTAGAGGAAGAGGGAAACGTTAGAAAGGGATATGAAGAACTGAGGGTGGGTAGCTCAGGCCTGTAATCCCAGCTGCTTGGGAAACTGAGCTGGAGGATCAGAAGTTTGAGGTCTACCTGATTAATTTAGGAGCAAAATTCAGCCTGTCTAACATGAAAGAAAATGAGCTTGGGCTGTAGGTCGGTGTGAGTGCATGTGTGAGGCTCTGTGTTCAGTCTCTAGTACCACACGCACATGCACACACATAAAGAAAAAGGCAGGGCGATACGAAAGAACTTCTGGAGTCTGGGGCGATGTTTTGTGTCTTTTTTTTGGGTGGGCAGTTGCATAGGAAGAGATCATGTCAGTGTCAGTAACCACCAAATAAAATTCTTAAAACCTATGCATATTATGAAATGTTTGCATCTTAGATTTTAAAATTTTTTTATTAGGACATGTTTGCAGTACATAATGATTACATTCATTGTGGGGAGTTGGTACATGTACGTAACACATCTTAATTCCTTTTTCATGCCCTTGCCCTCCTTTCCCTCCCCCCCTTCCATCTTTTTTCCTGTTATCCTTTATTTTGTTCTTTATTTATAGTTTGGGTTTCTCATATAAAAGAAACCATGTGATATTTAAGCTTGTGTGTCTGATATTTATTTATCTATACATTTTTTAGACAGGGTTTCACTATATAGTTCAGGCTGGCTTTGAACTCACTATGTAGCCCAGCTGGCCTTAAATTTGCTGCAATCCTCCTGCCTCAGCCTCCTGAGTGCTGGGATTACGGGTGTGTGCCAGTACACACACCTTTGTTCTGGTGTATTTCACTTAACATTATGGTCTCAAAGCGCATCCATTTTCCTGCAAATGACTCAAGTTCATCCTTTCTTAAGGCTGAGTAGTACTCCGTTGTGTATAAATACCGTATTTTCTTTATTCACCTGTTGATAGACGTACAGTATAGGCCATTTTCAAGATTTAGATATTGTGAATTGTGCTGCTATAAACATAGGTATACATGTATCATTGTGGTTTGATATATTTAACTCTTTCAGGAATATATCTAGGATAGGAATAACTAGGTCGAATGAAATTTCCTGTTTTAGTTTCTTGAGAAATCTCCACACAGATTCCATAACGATTGTACTAGTTTACATTGGCACCAACAGTGAAGGATTCCCCTGCCTGGTTGTTCCAGCATTTGTTGTTATATGATTTCTTGATGTTAGCCATTTTTTCTGGAGTAAGATGGGAATCTCAGTGTTGTTTTAATTTGCATTTCTTTTT